GTGCTTTGCCAAGCTTGTTTCAAGTAGGTGCTTTAGACCACTGAGCCATCTCTCCAGCCCCTCTTTCTTGTTCTTTTGAGACAGGGTCTCACTATATAGTTCAGGCTGTCTTTGAACTCACTATGTAGCCCAGGGTGGCCTTGAACTCACAGAGATCTTCCTGCCTCAGTCTCCTGAGTTCTGGCATTACAGGTGTCCACCACCACACCCAGTGGATACTATGATCCTTCTGTGAAGATATATCTGTTCTTTCAGAAAGAAAACTGAAGAGTGAGTTCAAAGGTAGCCTGAACTACACAGAGAGACCTTGTCTCAAAAACAAAAATAAAAAAAGCACTGGGTAGAATTTTAGGCCCAAATCATATGAAACAATGTTATTATTTTAACTTGAGCTGGACAGATGCAGAGACAATACTCATTCCTCCCCACTCAGGAAATAACAATAAGTTGTATTCAGCAGTTTAATTCCTTTAGTCATGACCGCAGGAGCAAACTACACAGGCACTGCCCTGAAACCTGCAGCTGAGTGAGGTGGGACAGAAAGATGGTAGTGAGAATGCAGGCACTCAAAGTCTAGAAAGCCCTTGGTAGCTTTCTGAGGGGTGACAGGAGAGGGTGTGGTGGCACAGGGTCCATCTTGATGGGCAGTTCTGCATTCTGACTGTCAGGCTGGTACGGCAAGCATCCACCTGTGATGAGATTTTTTTTTTTTTTTTATAAAGTCAGGCACACAAAGGAGTTTGTGTAAACACTGGTCCACTTAAAGAAGTAAGGGATTATGTCAGGGACCCATTTCCGGCTTTGGATAAAGCACTGCAGCCAAGCTAGATGTTACCATCCAGAGACAGGGATGCTGTAGGGCAACTCTGCACTATTTTGCAACACCTTTGAAAGCATAATTAGTTCAAAACAAAAAGTTAAAAATAAATTCAAATAAAGAAAAAAAAAAAAAAAGAAAATCCTTTTTAGCAAGGAGGCTAGAGGTTCATACAAGTTCAAGAGGAAGAACTAGCTTTCCACAGATAGCCCTGGTTAATGCCTCAAAGCCACCGCATGATGAAGCTATGCATTTTGTTCCAAAGGCATGAACTTTTTTGTTTTGTTTTGTTTTAGGAGGAATATCAATAATAGCAGTTTTGTGGTAACTTGAAGACATATGAAAAGTCAGCCAAAACCCTGGCGTGCTACAGTTCTCTGTTTCAAAATAATTACTGACTTCCTGAACACTACCCATTATAATAATCGCCCTTTCCACAGTGTGTGTTTTGGGGGGAGGATACCACATAACTCATTTATAATGATACCCCAAAGCACTCAGATTACAAAACAAGTGCTCATTCAAGAAGAGTCACATAAGCCAGATCACATGGTGACAATATAAATAAATGTCAAAGGGATGGTTGGTGCTCCTACTGCTAACCATCCTCCACACAGGCTTTAATGTCTGCTTCAGAGGGAGGCGGGTGTATGAGTGCTCAGGTCAGATAAGGAGTCTTTGGAAAATTAAAGAACTGATCAGAAATCCTTCATAAGATCCATAGGACCCCCAGGTAAGACTTTTTCATGGTAACTCTACTCAGCCACCAGACAAAAGGAGTTATTAAGATCTCAAAGCAACACAGTTGGGGCCTGGGAGATGGTTCAGCGGAATAAGCGCTTGCCCAGCAAGTGCAGAGGCCTGAGTTCAATTCCCAGTTCCACCAAAAAATTAAAAAAAAATAAAGCAACACAGTTAAAGCCAGCCAGTTCACATTTCATCCAGTTTGCAAATAGGGACAGTATGAGACAGATGCAAAGATTCTATCATCAATGACAGGATATTAATGATTTTTTTTCTGCTGTGGCCCT